ACTATAATGCTCGTCAAGATGCATGACGTCCTTTAGATTGGGGCGCAAAGTATCAAGTTTGCTATCAAGAATCAAAGTATAAGGGTCAACCGGTTCTTTCGAGGGACGTTTATTAGGATCGCCACCTCCCCGAAGCATCTTTGACTTCTTTTTCATTTTGTGGGGTATTATTCTCTCGCCATTGATATCTAGGTCATCCTCCACGTGGATAAAGGGTGTATATGAAATGTTGTCATAGAAGCATTCCAGAATTTCGTCAAAGATTCCTTCGCCGTGGGTGTTCTTGATGTAGTCTGCCTTTGTCATTTTATGTTTGTTATTTTTGTTGAATACATCTGTATGTAGAATGAGAAGTGAAAATGCGATAAAGTAGGCTTGATCAGGAGATGCATAGATGCCAGGATTGCACTCATGATACCTGTTTGCAAAACCTTGCAAACACCTGTCGATCTGCTGTGTCTCTTTTGGGAGCTCAACTTCCATGAGCAACTTTCGAATGGCCATGTCCATAGGATCTCCAAAGAAACCGAATCCTCTCATATAGCTACGAAGGACAGCCTGTGAGAAAGAGTCCGTTCCTTTCGACAATACACTAGCTACCACACCTCGACTAACCGCCTCTTCTAGCCTGACTAAATAATTAGCTGGTGTATCATCATCGTATCGTTCCGGCAGGATGATAGCCTCTTCTCGGTTCAATTGCATAGAATTGTTCTTCGAAGTATTGGAAGCAGGGGTGGTAGGTCCCGAATTATTTCCCGGTTCAGGATTCTGGCGCAATCGAGCTGTAAGATTGAACAAATCGCCAAAACTTTTCCTGCCAGTGGATGTGGAAGTCCTGGTCGATGGTAACGTGGGGGTCGGTAAAGAGTCTTCATTTGGTGCATTTCTCAAAGAGCTCAAAGTGGATGAACGACCGCGCAGCGTTAATCTGGAACGGGTGGGTGACGATCTCGAAGATGACGCAGTGGAACCTTGTCGTAATAAGGGGGTGTCTGGCCGACCTACACCTGATGATGTCTTCTTCAAAGCAGTGGGAGAGGAAGGGGTATGAGACGGAGACGGTGGGAATGGAGAATGAGAACCTTGTGGCGTCAGGTCGTCCGATGATTTGGGGGTTGTGGCCCGAACCGAGCCGGACGAAGGAGCCGTGGGGTATCTCGTGACAGAAAGCGAATTCGAAGCATCGTTTTGCGCGGACTTTTGTGGGAGATGGCTCAGATCGAATAACGGAGCGGGCTTCTTCCGGCGAGGAAGACGAAAGAAGGTTGTTGTTGTTTGGACAGTGTGCGTAGTTGTCGTGGTCGTTGCATATACTCCATGCTCGCCCGAGCTTGCATCTGATCTTGAAGATTCAGAAAGTCTGTTTACTGGCAGAGCCAATGCCGAGGACGCCTCGTCTCCATATGCAGGAGGTGAGCCACCATTGCCATGGGTCATTGGGCGATTTGGTTCGTCAAAAGTAACACGGCTTTTATTGCTCGGTCCCGACTCTGACATGGTCTTTCTTCGTTCTTTCTTGGAGAGCATTTCGATATCTGATGTATCTTCTGGTTGTGATGGCGGTTGCTCTTGTTGCTTCGCTCGATTGTTATTCACAGCCGTCGATTTGGTACGGCCGGGAAGTCTAACCCGCGACTTTTTCTTCATAGGGCGTCCTCCATTGAAATCCATGGTTGGAGCCGTGGTGATAATCTCTGGGGCTGGTATACTGTCAGCACTATGCCAAGAAGGTAGATCTAGCAAGCAATTGTTCTGTCAAATTAAATTGTTGAACCACATGAAATGCCTCTAAATGTTGCGGAATGACATCAAATGGAAAAATACTTGCGCTGAGGTATTGGAGGAGCATCTTCCGCTATTGAACTCTGAGCCTGTAGTCGCGACCTTGTGGACAATTGTGAGTCGGAAGCATGTCGAAACCTTAACATGGAGAAGCGACGATGTTTCGAAGTTTCCTCCTGGATCGGTGGTGACCCCGATCGCTGAAGCGCAGCAGGATAATCTGTGGCAGGTCTAACTAACATGGGTAACGATGTCATTGTTCCTGGTTCTGCGGCATTTGATGGGAAATCAGCAGGCGAAGGACGTCGTGGCATTTGTTCACTCGCTCTGCCATCTGGAAGTTCGGTGTCGAGAATTGGATTTAGAGAATTTGAATCGACGGGAAAGAAGCTATGCCGTCGCATTTCAGCATCGCTGGCAGCAGCACGACGACGTAGTAATGGCATTTTGAAGAAACGTCGAACAACATTGATCCTACCCCAAGGGATAATTAGGAAGCAAGGTGGTTGGTTATTCTTGTTTCAGCTGGAGAGGGAAAAAATCACATTTGCAAATGGAGTGTGGGATTGAATTGGTGAAGGGTGTTTGAAGAGTTGTGTATCCCTTCGTATGAGGCTGATATGGTAGGGAAGATACCCTTGGGAAAGTAAGAGAGTCGTAACAAGTGGATAAGAGGGAAAGGACTAATAAACGGGGTTCTGAGGTTCTGGACCGGGGGGGTAATTGGTGGTTGGTGGACCATGGGCAATTGGCAGAATAGGACGAGAAAAAGTAAATATGGAGGAGGAAGAGAGAGGGAGAGAGGGAGAGAGGGAGGGAGGGAGAGAGGGAGGGAGGGAGAGAGGGAGAGGGAAGAACGAGAAGTACGATAGATACGAGTGAACAAATCAAAACAATTTTAACAAATCATTCATACTGGTATAAAATTCAATTCAGCAATGCAAGACTCGGATGAAAACATCAATGAAGGGTAATAAAAGCTTGGTGGTAGGATGAGATGAATAATTTACAAATGCTATTTATGAGTTAAGTTTTATTATTTATCTACCATACGATAGTACCTAGGTAGTTATCGACTAGGTAATACTAACCAGTACAAAGAACGACGCAGGCCGACTGAAAATCCCACCCAAACCGTGGAGGGTTTCTTTCCCCTGAGGTGAATGACGCAAAGGTGGTTTGGGTTGAGGACCTCGGAGTGAAAAGAATCAATTAGGGTAACATTGTATCGTAGGCCATTTATGATTGATCATGCATGAGTGAAGACTTTTGAAGACAGAACGAAGTATGTACCTAGTACTTGGATAAAACACAAAACACAAAACACATCCAACGTCCAACATCCAATATCAAATCAAACGCGTACCCAGAACTCGTGTTTCCAAATAACCTTATTCTTTTATTGTTACTACATCCGGGCCTATTGACCTAGCTCGTCCTTTCTGCCATTTGCGTGTGAGCTGGGCATCCACCACCATACCATGCATGGAAGATGAAGATGGAGATGAAGATGAAGGTGTTAGGGCTGTCTGTGTACTACCTAGTATTTATTAAAGAGAGAAATCATCAAGGCTGTCTGTGTGCTATCTATATACTATCTATATACTATCTATATACTATCTATATACTATCTATGTGCTCCTGAAGAAACGAAAAAGGTACAACCATGGCACACCTGCATCTCCCACATCTCCTCCTCTCCTTCACCAAACAAACAACAATGATCATTTCCCCCTTTCGACCAAAAAAAAAAAGATTTGCCCTCTGGAGAATACTCTGAAACATATAAACCCAACTTTTGCAATACCCCATATGATGAGATGAAAGTAAAGATTACCCTCGGGTCCAAGTGCTGCGTTATATGGATCAATAAAATTTGATCCTTCCACAATGCAATTTCCTGGACGTGGCCAAATCCGATAGCGATACCTATAATAAGGTAATACCTAGTCGTCGGCTGGATGCCAGTGAGCCAGTGCATGGGATGGGGCCACCCGTTTTTCTAGAAGACTCAAGCAGTCGCCCTTATTTTTAGATCATGCTGCGTTAGGCTGGAGCTGTCCTCGAGGTGTCCTTCGATTTGGCATGGTGGAATGTTCTAAAGCGTGGAATGATCTGCATGGTGGGAGGGTAAAAAAAAAAAAACCTAATGGACCGTTGGAATTGGATTCCCTCGTGGGAAAAGTGACGCTCATACTTTTGGATGGATGTAGTCAAAGGCACATCTGAGGCACATCTGAGGGCCGCCTGAGGACCATGTGAGAGACACCTGAGAGGGATTTATCTTTTCATCACCATTTATTATCAAGTACATCCATTCTTCTTACATCAGCCCAGCCACTCTTTCACGGTAAGCTGCTGACCCCTCTCTGCTCTGTCGTATGAGATCAGCTCGACCGTATGAGATGATAAACGCAAAGAGAGAGGAGCAAGCACCAAACAAGATATCTGTACGCTCTGCATATGATATATCTCTATGCAGATGAAAGACCGGTTGCGACCATGCAATTGGCCATATCGATAATTCAACCATCCAGCCACCATCAAGAATCTCCATCAAGATCAAGGTAACCTACAACGCATTTCTTGGCCCTCCATACAATATTGATGACCCGAAGTTTCTTCCATGCCGTAGCCCTTTCCTCAACCAGTCAATATTGCCAACGTATCCAGCTGAATATCTGATCTACGTAAGAAGAATCACTTATCTACCGTACACTGGTGGTATATACCAAAGATACCAGATGCGTGATAATGGCTCACAACCCATTCATTGGCAATTGATTCACTAACCATGAATCCGATTGAAGACGAGTAGATACTTTTGAGTGAATCGCAAACCAATGAACTGAGACAGTGTATTCAGAAAAAGCAATTATTGGTATGAAGTAATGAAGTGTCCAGTCTATCATCTCTCAATGTTTCAAATCTATTCTTGTAGAGTTCAGTCAGATGCTAAATGAACAATATCTTCCTTCACAAGCATCCTCTAAGATAAGGCCGGTTGTTTATGATAAGGTACCAGTCCAGTCTAGTCTAGTACCTACCGATGTAAGCTAACTCTCGGTGAGCTGGTTCGTACGAGGGGAATGGATAGCATCACTCTAAGCATTGTTAAGAGAAATTTAGACAATTCGATGAACGAAAATACCACGCGTCACTTTCAAACCATTTCACACTACTCGTACACTATACTGCATACTGCGGTACATACAATGGCTTCAATGGACAAAGCGCAGCCCCTAGATGAAACCACGGATTCAAAGTCGTCTCCAGATATCACCTCAAACATCAGATCTACAGATATATGGGTGGTTTACCCAGAAGGTGGTTTTCCTACTCCTACAGACATAACACATCCTATCCAGCAACTCCTCGAATCTTTTGGACCTCAATCGGAGACGCAATTACGGACAGCAACTTCGTTAAATGGGTGGGGGATAATGTATTGGTCGCTGCTTCTTACGCCGTCGGAAGTGAAGATGCTAGAGGAAAGTCCTTTGGTGGGGATTCAATGACTCTCTCATTGGAGTTTAGCTACGTACTGATATATATTTACAGGTCTATGGAGTATCGCAGCAGGTGGCTGGAAGTGATGATATTTGACTAGATGATGAGATGGTATTCGATGAGATGAGATGGGATAGAAGAGGTTGAAAGCATACTAGGTAGGAGTTTATGTTTGAAAATGGCTTACCAGACAATTTGGCAGTGATGGATGGAAATCATAATCTTACAATAAATACGATAGATCAAATTGATACATTGTTGCTATACCGTCTGATGTTTTGGTCTATCAACAAAATTACAATCTCCTTGACATTCACCTTGCCAATTATTGGTTCCAGGAACCAGGCAACCTTCTAGGCCTGAATGACATTTTAGTACTATCCACCTCCTAAAATCTTTATTTCATCTCTCTCACGAATCATCTCAAATATAATTCCAAGCACGACCCACAGCCTCACAACCTTCATTGTCTGTCGACATTTCCATCAATCCCTAAATGCGAAATTAATTATGTCGCAATCTCACTCGACATTATCGTTGTTTATTCTTCTGGTATCAAGTCTCCTGTGTATCCCGTATGTCGTCGCCGCACCTTGGGCTACGGACGGTCATGCTCACTTGTCACCTGTAACCCCGCGATATCCTCCACAGGAAGAGTCGGGCATTAAATACCGCAATGTGCTCCCCAAATTAAACTGGCTGCGGGATACGGCGATAGAAAAGATCTTCCGTCTTCCCCCAAAGGTCGCAAAGAAACCCCATGTACCAGGGAGTGTGTCGCGACCTACCAATATCCAACTCCCCGCGACTTTACTTGCAAAATATGGCGGTGATAAGGTACTTCGATTCAATCTCACGACGCCAGCGGAAGAACAAGCTTTGGCAGAAGCTGCAGATACACTTTTTCTAGATGTGTGGGAGTTCACAAGTAATTGGGCGGATATTCATTTGCGAGAAGATGATGTACGTGAAACAGTCTTTACTGTTGTCGAAGTGCTAACTGATGAAAAAGATTCCCTCCTTACTCGGCCTCTTGCCGAAATCTCTACAGACTTCATACTCGTATCTAATGCCTGACTTGGCGAAGAGTATTTATCAATCGTATCCATCGACGGCATATGCTGATGTAGCTTTTCCCTCGAAACATATTGAAAAAGCATTCACCCCGGCTTTGAGAACTAGTACTGTCGATGGGATGGACAACGTATTCTTTCAAAACTATCAACCACTATCCGTCATTGTCCCATGGATGCGCCTGATGTCTTCCATGTTCTCAACACACGTTCGAATGATCAGCATTGGAACTTCTTACGAAGGTCGCGACATCCCAGCTTTAAGGATTGGCGTATCTCCAAATCTACCTTTGGAGAATCTCAAGCCACGACAAACGATCATTTTATCCGGTGGATTCCATGCTCGAGAATGGATATCCGTGAGCTCCGTTACATACACTGCCTGGTCTTTGATCACTTCTTATGGAAAATCGCCTGCGATTACAAAGCTTCTACAAGAATTCGACTTTGTCCTCATTCCTACTATCAATGTGGATGGATACGTGTATACTTGGGAGAACGACCGTTTATGGCGCAAGAATAGACAGCAAACCAATCTTCGATTCTGTCGAGGTGTTGATCTAGACCGTGGATTCGGCTTTGAATGGGGTGCTTCGACTCAAAGTAATCCTTGTTCCGAAAGTTACCCAGGAGATGCACCTTTCCAGGCTGTTGAATCCCATCGATTTGCAGAATGGGCTAAGAATGAGACGGAGAACAATAATGTACATTTTGTTGGTTTCTTGGATTTACATTCATATTCTCAACAAGTTTTATATCCTTATTCTTATTCATGCTTGGCCGACCCACCGAGTTTGGAAAATCTGGAAGAACTTGGTATGGGACTTGCAAAGGCTATTAGAATATCGAGTGGCGAACAATATACTGTCGCTTCCGCTTGTGAAGGTGCCGTTTCTTCGAAAATACCCGGCCACTCATCGACAAGCAGAATGGAAACTGGAGGTGGTTCCGCGATCGATTGGTTTTATCACGAATTACGAGTGCGATATAGTTATCAAATCAAGCTACGAGATACCGGCAGCTATGGATTCTTACTTCCTAAAGAAAACATCATTCCGACGGGAGAAGAAGTTTTTAGTGTTATCAAATATTTTGGAGACTTCCTTCTGGGCGATAAAGGGATTGAGAAATCGATATCTTCAGAAGAGGCCTTGGTTACGGAATCAGTTAAGTCTGCTTTACCCCTTGGAGTCATGGAAGATGATTCGGTCGTTCCGGATGAATTGACGGACGAACATGAAGATGTTAATTGGGAGTTGAAACGAAAGAGGAAGTAGAGGAGATAAATTGATATGCACATTGATATTAATGTTGATATTGATATTGATGTTGATATTGATGTTGATGGTGATGGTGATGGTGATGGTGATGGTGATGGTGATGGTGATGGTGATGGTGATGGTGATGGTGATGGTGATGGTGATGGTGATGGTGATGGTGATGGTGATGGTGATGGTGATGGTGATGGTGATGGTGATGGTGATGGTGATGGTGATGGTGATGGTGATGGTGATGGTGATGGTGATGGTGATGGTGATGGTGATGGTGATGGTGATGGTGATGGTGATGGTGATGGTGATGGTGATGGTGATGGTGATGGTGATGGTGATGGTGATGGTGATGGTGATGGTGATGGTGATGGTGATGGTGATGGTGATGGTGATGGTGATGGTGATGTTTATAGGCGTAATGAGAATCAGGTAATACCTTATGGATGACTCGGGAGGCGCTTGTGGGTTATTAGTGTTAATGTAATGGCGTTTGGTCGTTATTGTCGTTGTGAGGATATATTGGAGTGCTTAATTACCTAGGTAGGTAGTTTATGAGGAGGGAGCTTGATTATGGAAATGGAAATTTTAATGAATGAAGTTGTTTGTTTTTGTGTTGTGTTTTTTATCCCCTAGAATGCTAGAGATGGGCTCCGAAAATGATTCGTACGATATATCTTAAATGATGAAATCTTATTGAATAGAATAAATATTTTCATAGTTTTTCAATCATATTATTTATCATATAGAATCTTGATTTCCAATTTCGATTTTTTATAATTTGAAAAAAGATTAAAGATTGAGAATTAGTATATATAATAATACTCGAGATTTTGATATAGAAATAATATTAATTAAATTTTATATTAGAAAATAAATATAAATATTGAATTGAATTGAATTCAAGAAATCTTAATAATTTAATTGGTTAATAAGATCTTTATTAAGTAATAAATGTCACGGGGTGACACTAAGCCCTTTCTGTCCTGTCCTGTCCTGCTATATATGTGAGAGTAAGGTAGAACTTCCAGTTCTACCTCCTAGTCTTTTGAGCGTTTAGCTCAGCGGTAAAGCTTCTGAATACTCCCAGAGGTGATCCCGTGACAATAGAGCTTATTTCTAATATTTTAGGAAATAGATAAATATAGATGAATATAGATAAATGTTAAAAGATCATATATGAGTTGGTGGAAAAGCCTTGATATTATTAAGTTCTATATAGAGATACGATATATATATGTGGACTCGATAGAGTTATATACGGACTAATCCCGATACAGCATAATATGATATATGGTATAAGTATTTTTTCTAATATTTCTTTATACTGATATTATCACGGCGCTAACTATATGATCTGTAGTTGCCTTTATGCTTTAAGTATAGTATATTAGTATGCCCTATTTTCTATAAGTAGAGCTTCACTTTTCCATAACTCTTTTATCTTTATGGTATAATATAAGTTTTTATTTGTATCTTAATAATTTATATTATCTTCAAATAAATTATTACAGTTTTATTTTTATTTTATTTCTAAAGCTTTATTGATATTTTATCCCGATTATGTTAATCACATCTATCATTAATTTATTATATATCCTACCACCGATATTTTGAATCTCAAAAAGTGCCGAAGATGGGTGAATAAGTATCTATACTAGAAGCACCTGTATCTAGCTTATCTCCATAATTCCTTTTCTTAAACCATATTCTTAATTCTGCTGAAGCCGATATCTCTCTTTTTATAGACCTATTCAATAATCCAAATACTACACACTTTATTACTGTTCAAGCTATATTTGAATCAATTGAATCGATTGCAGGTTTATTATAAGCCCAAACTGCTGTTGCTCAGGCTTAAGTTACCGATACTCAATTAAAGATTATTAAATTAAAAGATACAATTGAAATATTGAAGATTACTATTTGCAATAATTTGTAAGCTTTATTTTATTGCAAATATCTCGCCGCCTTCAAAAAGTTTAATAATAATAAATAAAATATTATAAAGCACCAAGATTAGTACACAACTTTTTATAATATAATCAATTACTGTTTAACCACAGATTATAAAAATGAATTAGAATTTTAGAAAATCATATTTCTTATTAATCTATTTTCTAACTTTATTTATATAAACAATCAGATATACTTTAATACAATTACAAATAATATACATAATTCCAATCTTTAGCCCTCTGAATAGTATACTGTAATAAACATCTGGTATAAATTAAATAAGCAATACCAGATTCTAAATCTCTTATACAAAATTTCTATAGATTATAATAAATATAAAATGAAGAAGATTCTATTTAATAATTTTATTATCGAATTTAAGCAATTCACTATTAAATACAAAAAGACTATTAAACAATAAGTTGCTAATCTTAAACTCAAAGTCTTATAAAAATTAATTGATATTTTAATTAACTATCCCAATAAACTTTCTATTACCAATATCGATACATAGATAGTTTAGTAGTAAGGCATTTACAATAATTTAGAAGAAAAGATTTATTTTGATAATCAATATAAAAACCAAAATATTAACTTCAGCAATTAGAAAAAACCTAATGAAAAGAAATCTATTATTGCTACTATAATACCTACACCTGATTCCTTTGAAAATCCTATACAACTAAATACTACTTGCCAAGGCTAGTGATCCTTATTATAATATAATAGAGAATAATGTCTAGATCTTGGCCTTTATCTTTATTATAAAAAGCCTAATCATATCAAATTCAATTATAAAGAAAAGCAATATAATAATACAAAATATAATACCAACTCAGAAACTATATAATACCCCAATCATCCCTTTATTACAAACCAATACACTCCAAATGTTTATTGTTTTTCTATTACCGATTATTATTACAACCCCAAATCCTATTATAATACTTATAGCTCTACTTATCAGAATACATTCCCACCTACTAATTGTTTTCCGATTATTACAATACCATTTCAATACATCTCTCCAGTCCCCACTAATAACAGAGATCTGGGTGGATTTGTTGAAGACTCTATATATTCAAATAATAATGAAAATTCAATTCTCTAATTAAATATATTAAAAAACTAATCTCGATTTATAATCATAAATCAAAATTTTTTATAGAAAGTTTGTTTTTATAAATTAAAAGATTAATTATATCTAGGGATTCTTTGTACCTTAAAACAATGAATAATAATTTTTTAAAATCTCAATGGAAATTTTTCTTACACCTAATATAATCATTCTATTTATTAGCTTAATAGATAATAAAGCCACAGGATATGAGTTTATAGATAGAACCCTTATATCCAAACTTGGTATCCCTATACATTCCCTTTCTACTACCCGCAACCTATTATTTACAGATAAAAAGACTTCTGATATCCTATTTCAATATACATTATTAAATTTATGAATTAATAATTATAAAGAAATTGGCTTATTCTATATTATCAATCTTTCCAATACAAACTCTATAATCCTCGATTTTTTATAGCTTCAGCACCATAACCCTACCATTAATTAGATAACAATGACTCTTAAGTTTATATTCACATATTGCTCCAGATATTGCTACCCAGTTAATTTTACTACAACTATTATCCCCGATTGTAATAATATACTGACCCTAACAAACACAACACTCATCCAATATTACATACACCCATTAGAAAGTCTATTTTAAAATCTACTTTGAAAAAATCTATTTCAATCCCATATCATACCTTTACCGAAGAAATTATTAATAAAAGTCTTCAGACTCCCTTCTTTTCACTTCAAGACTAATCAATACTTTTGAAATATAATTCTCCGACTCTAGCTATAAAAAAGAATATTAATAGAAACCTTTACAATATAAATCCTATTGATTTAATACCATTCGATTCAAACCACCACTACACTCACCAAATCAACAGAAAAACAGAAATCTGTACCAAAATAATACCAAACCAGCCAATCCTGAAATCAGCTTTAGTATAGATTATTGCAGGCTTTAGGATATACAAAAGACTATTACAAAACCAAAACGTTTTACCCCCATTAATAGTCGGCTCTTCTAAGCGGCCTCCTAGTTCCTAGTCGGGGAAAGCGGTTGTCCCCGGAAAGCGCTTGTTCCCGAAAAACTTCGAAAATATCATAATAATTGAATTATATTAATCACAACCTTTATAAATTATATGATTATTAATAAAATATTGATTATTATCATTTATTCATTATATCTATAATAATAAATAAAGTTAAAGTTAAATATAATAAAGCTATTCAATATTATTTGGATTATTCACAGAAACCTTTTTATATTGCTATACGAATTGAAAACTTAATAATTATTACAAATAATTGAAAAAGGCTATACAATATAAGTGTAATAAACTAACTAAAGGGATTCCTAATCTTACTAATAAAGATCAAAATAAAATATTGACTAAAGCTTAAGGAGTATGTATCAAAACTCTAATCTGTAATTTATTGAACTACAATATTATATTTATTTACAAACTTATTTTCAACACAATTGTATACCTCAAACACATTAAGAATTCAAAAACAAAAGGTTCTACAAAACGATGGTTTAGAAACTATTGGAAGAAGATAAAACTATATATTATTATTACAAATCCTTTTGCAAAATAATATACTCAAGTACAAAAGGAAAAAGATATTTTAAAATAGTTTAAAAACTATCAAGAATATCTCAAATTGCTTAATATTATAAAGAAAACCCAGATCATAAACTTCAATGAAACGGGATTTAGAGCTGGATATATATGCGGGCAGAAAATATTAGTTTCAGATAATATTCTTGAAGTAAGTGTATTTGAATATATATTTATATAAATAAATACTAATTATATAGTTCTATTCTATCAGTCCTAAAGATCGATGCTCTATTACTATATTCGAAATCATCGATGCTGTTAGCAGCCTTTCTTTATCTCCCCTAATTATAATAAAAGAAAAGGATTTAATATAGAATTGGTTTCAAACTATTCTATTAAAA